TATACTTTTTATAGTTTATACATATATAGTTTATATACATAGTTTATATATATATAGTTCACATAAACATAATTTATATATATAACTTATAATAATTATATAGTTTATAATATAAATATAGTTTATATACATAGTTTATATATATAATTCACATAAACATAATTTATGTATATAGCTTATAATAATTATATAGTTTATAATATAAATATAGTTTATATATAAACTTATATATTATATATATATATATATATATATATTAATTTTTTCAATTTTTTAAATGAATGCAATTTACTATATTTTTCATTATTTTTTAACATTTTGCATTTATTTCAATTTAATCCTTTTGTGTTTTTTTAATTTATTTCAATTTTAAGTCTTTCACTTTTATATGTATTCAATTTAGTCCTTAAATTTATAATTGCATCTTTATTTGGCCAATTGTTAGTTGTTATTTATTTATATTTTTGTAACTGTCCCATAATTTTTTAAATGTGTTTAATTTAGTCCTTTTTTATATTAATTTAATCCTCACATTTTAAATTTATTTCGATTTAGACCCTGACCTATGTGTGTTGTTTAATTTATATTTTAAGATTTTATTTGTAATTTTACATTTCTTCAATTTTGTAATTCAATTTATATTTTTTTACAAAATTGATCCATGAATATTTGTTTTTCTCTTAATTTACTCGAAATCATATACAATTACAACTTGCAATTCAACAATCACAAAAGATGACAAAATAATTAATCCAAAAATAAAAACGACCCGACCTGAACTCAATCTGTATCCAATAAACATCCGACCTGAATTATCTGTCAATGATGTGACCGGATCTGAACGAGATCCGACTGAAGTCCACCTGAACCTGAATTAACCTGGTCTTTATCTGCTTCGGACCTGAACTAATTTTACCTGAACTGACATCGATCTGAACTGAAAATGACCTGACCTGAACTCGATATGGATATAGTGTCAAATCAACTTGAAAATAACCCCGAACTAATTTGATCCGTACTCGACCTGATCCGAGTCAAACCATCAAGTTGACATGTACTCGATTTTACCCGACCTGCCAAGATTCGACTGAAACCTGTCCGATTACCTGATTTTACATCCCTACTTTCTACCATCATCTTCCTTCATTTCCATGTGAAGAATAATCGACATGTAGAATATTTAATGTAGAATATTTTCCTATTTCACAACTTAGTCCAAAATCCTAATAAAATAGCTCAAAAATGAAGAAAAAAAAATTCTCACCTTGGGGAAGCTCAAGGCAGCAAGGAGGAGGAAAAAGAAAGGTTCTTAAACTTTCTCCCAAAAAATCTCACTACACTTGGTATTTAAACTAATTAAAATGAATTTAAAATTCATTTTAGTCCAAAAGTCCTTTTTACTTTTAATGAATCTTGATAATTATCTCATGTCATCATTTCATCTCCATTTTCATAACATTAAATAAATATAAAAATCATATTTACTAATTTTCACATTTTCCCTTCCATTTTTCCAAAATTTTGAATTTAGTCTATTAAATTCAACTATTCACTTTAACATGAAACTTCTGATTTGATCCGGTTACTTGAATATTTTATCGAACTTTATCGTTTAATAGCTTTTTACACAAACTACGGATAAAAATATGAATTCCATAAAAGCTCCATTCTTCAGGATAAACTATCCATTTATAGAATAAAAATTCTTTTTGGGAAATTATCACTTTGGACCTTGAACTTTTCCCAAGTTTCTATTTTGGCCACCAAACTTTCAAAATTTACATTTTAGTCATTTGTCAAAATTTTGGGGGTATTACATGTATTGAGCTTATTGTATACCTTTATAATTCATTCTTTATGAGCTTAATTCTTGTGAACACCTACCTAGAGATATCTTCTTGTTTACACAAAGTAAACCTTACAAAAAGAGGAGAGGTTCTCGTTTATCTTTTAGAAAAAATATAGAGTTGTAAATGTTGCACCTTATCCTTGAAAGGTAAGAACAAATTAGTGAATTTGTTAGAAAATTCTTATTGTGGAGCTAAGGTAGTGGATGTATACTTTGTTGAAAAGTTGAATCATTATAAATCATTGTGTCAATTTTTCTATCTTTTATTTCTTCTATTCAAATATTTTTAGAGGCCAATTCACCCCCTCTTGGTGATTTTCAGTTGGTCAATCGAGCCTAATGTTGTACCATTGTATGTAATTAGATGTAACATTGTGGTTAAAGATGGGTTCACAAACTGGTCACCTATCAAATCTTCTGATCCACTCGATCATGTACACCATATGATGATCTGCCCAGTTCACGTTCATCTTACCTTGTCGCGTTAAGCGACACAATTCGTCCAAATTTACGGGTGCCGACGGAATCCTTTGGACAAAATTAAATTGTCGCAGCACACGTTTGATAAGATAACATTCTACTATTTCGTAATGTATCAGAGGCACCGATAATATCCAAATGTTGGAACTCTTAAATATTTCAGGCGGAATATATATGCTAACATCATGATCAACGTACGACCTCCACATGAATTACACAAAATTTTTGTAAACTAAGTTAGATAAATTTAATTTTAAAAAAACAAATAATTTTAAAATTAAAAAAATTAAATTAATTAAAAATATTATCTCATATCTCCTCTTGATCATCAGTCTAAAATCTAATAAAGTTATTGGTAGATGGGCGTGAGATAGTGGACGACACCACCTCAAAGATGTTGATTAAGTATTTGATCATAAAGGTTCGTCTGCTTTTACCATGCAGGATCGATGAAAGTATTATTTAATTATTAACTTTCAGCTAGTCATAGAATGTCTGTCACTTTCTCATAATTTTTTCAACCCTTAAAAAATCATGCCACGTGTTTTGTTTACCTCCTTTGTATTTCACTCCAAACTAAATATGCTTATTCGACTTTCCTCCTTTTTTATGTAAATAATAATTAGCGTATTTTAATAATTATTTATCACACGATCACTCCAAACCTATTGTAACGGCACCCATTTTTACCCGATTATTCCATATTATTATTTTAAATAAATAAAAAAGTTATTATATTTATAAATCAAATCCACCAAAAAATAACAGTCCATAGATAATGTCCATCTTTTCTCCTATTTCAGGGTATTAATGTTCCTATTGCATCATGTAATGAGGATGTAATTGTTTGGGGCAACCATGATTCTGGGACATATTCAGTGTGCTCGAGATATTGGTGGTTGGAACGAAGGATCCATGTCAATGAAAATAAGTCCAAGGTGTGGTCGATTATTGCCAAAATCCATGTTCTTTCGAAGATCCGATTTTTTTCTTGGCGAGTAGCTTGAAACGCTTTGCCAATGGGGAGTCGCCTCAAAGATGTTGGCTTATCTAATGGAGTTTGTCCAATGTGTTCACTGTCAGAAGAAACGACGATACATGCAATCCGTAGCTGTCCAAAGACGTTAGAGGTCCTTCGCCTTGCCGAAATCCCAGCACTACTCTACCTAAGCTCCGCGGATAATCCACTGATACGGATGGAGGAAGCTTTCTCAATCCTTGGGCGTGATTTATTTGCTGGTTTTTTTGGTTATATTATGAAATATTTGGAATAATCGAAATTCTTTTGTTCACGGTGATAGGTTACAACCACCTTGGATCTTGGTTACCAATGCGAAGATTCTACACCAACATTACTTGAAAGCGATTGCTAAGGAGAAGATGAAAAATTGTTTGAGCGTTAAGGAGGTTAATCGAGTGAACTCGGATGTGGATTGTGCTTGATAGATAGCCCATATTGCGGGGGTAATTAAGATAAATACCGACGACACCTATGACGGATCTCGAAGAATAGTAGCTGTTGGTGTTATAGACCATGATCAAAGTGGCCAAGTGTGTTGTGGACTTGCTCAACCATCTGTTGGTTGCTTTGAATCTGGGTTTGCGGAGCTCCATGCATTGCATGCTGGATTAAGATTCGCTTGTGATATGGGATGGACAGTTGTTCAATTTGAAACTGACTCGTTGACATTTGTTCACAAGATTACAAGAGATTTTGGTGAAATTTCAACTCTTGGTGTTTCTGTGCAGGAAGCTCGGACGATTTTTTTGAAACCATTCGCAGTTTCATATTACTTATGCTAGTCATTCTTGTAATCATGTTGCTCATCGATTAGCTAATTGGGCTCTTAGAACTGATGGCTCTTTGTTCTTTGATTCGGTTTTTCCTGATATCGTTGCTCATGACATTCAAAAAGATGTACTTGATATTTGATTTATGATAATTGGGTACTTTTTTCCTCTTATTAGGTTAAGAAGGGATTTTTAATGAGTCAGTTTTTCTATAAAAAACTCATTCACAAAATAATTTCTCAAAAAACAAAAAATTTATTTACAAAACCAACAACCCATACATAATTTGAATATCCAACTGAAGCCTGCATACACTAATCCATTAGGCTAGGGTTCGCACATTAACCCTAGTGTCGCAGTGATACCTACTGTTAGATCACTATCCGTTCGACGGTTCAGTTGTCTTAATCTAGGGTTTGTGAAACCCTTACAGATGCCTCTTGCGCCGCCAGTGGCCCATTTGTTCATGAGACTTTTAGTTCGGTTGTTAAACTGGTCACCTTAAGAATAATACTTTCGATTGCTATAATGAGAGGATGGAAGTTGCGACAGGTCGATATTAATAATGCTTTTGTAAACGGGGATTTGACATAATAAGTGTACATGCTTCAGCCTCCGGGGTTTGAACAAGGTACTACAAGCTTAGTTTGTAAACTAAACAAGGTCATTTATGGCTTAAAGCAGGCACCTTGAGCATGGTTTGAGAAGTTGAGAGATTATTTATTTTCGAAAGATTTTCAGCTGTCAAAAATTTTTTTTTTGGATAAGTTAAATTTTATTATCTAGAAGAACATAGTTATACTACAAATAAACAAAACCAATCAAAACAGAAATACAAACAACATACTTACAAAAGACATTGATTGGTTTAAGTAATACCTCAAGCAATACAAAGGTTAGAATTTGTTCTATCAGCTCTATTAATATTTTTACCCTTTAGTTGAATTCGCACGGCTTCAATAATAATCTTGAGCAATTCATCGGTTGATCTATGACGACCTTGAAAGATTCTACGATTCCTTTCCTCCCACAAAGTGTAGATATAGGTTGTCCAAGCAATCTTCAGGATGGTGATGAGCAAGGATTTCCCTTTCCAAGTTGAAGAAGCCCGAGTAACCATTTCTTCCCAAGTAGATGAAGCATTCTTCAAGCCATTAAGCATAAGGGCAAAGCTCCAAAGACGAACAGCAAGAGAACATTGACAGAAAAGGTGATTTCTCGTCTCCTGATCATTACTGCAGTTATCACAAGTCCCATCTGTGGAAATTTCCATTTTGAGTAGCCGATCTCTAGTTGGTAATCTGTTTAACAAAGACATCCAAGCAATCAAACTGAATTTAGGAATGTGCATGGGAAACCAGATAAGATTCTGCCAGGGAACCTTCTCTCTTTTGATACAAATAGATTCCCAAATGTCGTTAAGCCTAAGATAACCAGAAGATGATAAGATGGTGAGTGCAATAGATCGCAGTTTCAAAATTCTATTAACACTCCAGCTCACATTAGAACCTGCAACAAAATTCCAGAAATCTTGATCTTTGAAAACATAAGATTTTAACCAAGCAACCCAAAGCGAGCCATCACCCGCTAGGATTTTCCTAATTAGATCAATAGAACAAGCTTCTTGTGTACGTAGATGATATAATACTTACTGGTGATAACGAAGCTGAAATTCAAAAAGTAATTTCTAATCTGGATAAAGCCTTTTCACTTAAGGATCTTGGCCTTTTAAACTATTTTCTTGCTATTAAAGTATGCTACACAGAAGATGGATTGTTCTTGAATCAAAGCAAATACATTGGAGAATTATTGAGAAAAACTGGCTTTGAGAGTGCCAGAAGTCTACCCACGTCAATGGTAAGTAATTGCAAATTGTCAATCCAAGATGGAAGTGCAATTATGAATGTGGCAGATTATAGGAGCATTGTCGGAACATTGCAGTACATATTAATTACAAGGCCTGATATTGCTTTCGCTGTGAATCTGGTCTGTCAATATATGCAAGCTCCATCTGATGTACATTTTCAAGCTGTTAAAAGAATTCTACTATATCTCCAAGGCACTCTTCACTATGGCTTAAAGTTTTCCAGTTCTTCACAACTAGCAATAATCAGTTTTGCTTATGCTGATTGGGGTTCTGATCCGGATGATCGACGATCTCCTACAGTTTTTGCATTTATTTTGGAGGAAATCTTGTCTCATGGGGTTCGAAGAAACAGCAAGTTGTGTCTCGATCGACTGTTGAAGCTGAATATCGCAGTGTGGCATGTGCGACAACTGAAATTTTGTTGCTTCAGTCTGTACTTAGCAAGTTACAGATTGTTCCGGATGGAAAACCCACACTCTAGTGTGATAATTTGAGTGCAGTTGTTATTTCGACAAACCCTGTTATGCACTCAAAATTCAAACATGTAGAGTTAGATCTCTACTTTGTTCGTGAAAAAGTGATAGCTGGAAGGCTGCAGGTGAATGAAGTTGCAGCTTATGAACAAATAACAGATGTAATGACTAAGCCGTTATCGGTGTTGTTATTTTTTATCGTCTTCGCGACAAACTTCTATGTTACTTATGTCAATATGAATATTGTTTGTTTGGTCACTGTTTCGTTCTTCTCGGCAAACTAAAGCAAGGAAACATGATTTAGAAGTTCAAAGAATGCAAGGAGAATGTTATGAAGTAGAAGTTAGTTAGGGTGGTTCACTGTTGTACTAAGTTGTTAGTATTCCAGTTATGGTTAGTTGGGAGTGGTTAAGGTGATTCTTAGTTTCCACTTTCTAAACTAATATTACTGCTCTCTTGTATATAAGGTGATCGGTCTCTATCAAAATTTAAATTTTGATCACGATTATTTTAAATATTTTAAATTTTAAATTTTATAAAATATACATTTCAAAATAATTTGATTAAAATTTTTTATTAGAACTCGTTACCTCGATGTGACGAGTTTCATAAACAATGTAGAAAATACCATAGATTCCAAAATAAAAACCCGGGTGCCCTAATGGGCTAAATAAAAAACCCGGTTGTCCTAATGGGCAAAAAAATCCAATAACAGCAGCACTTGATCTTTGGACCGATTCGAGTTATTTGCTTCCTGGACTGGCCCTTTTTCTTGATGTAGACATGAGTTTGCTAGAGAATCAGACCGTATTTGTAGGTATACCTAACAAGCCTTCCACTGTTTCAACCCAAAAGATGGCATTCATCATATTAATAATGTTTTTCTGCGGTGGCTCAAAAAGGATTTCAATTACATGTTTTTCTTAAATATTTATAAGGATAAACTTCTCTAAATATTATTAAATTTTAATGTATTTTTCGAATTTACCATTAAAATTTAAATAAATATATTTATAGACTTATAGCACTAAATTTTAATTTAGGATTCAATTATATTATTAGATCTATAACTCGTAAATAACATGATAAAAAGGATATTAATTTTGTCGATATGATGATTAGATAATAAAAATAATATTATTGTAATTTAAAAAATTGATAATACAAAAAAAAAGTAGTATTGAATGGCAAACTCACCATTTCTTTGTCTTCTAAAAACGATAAGACAGTGAGTTTATTGTTGGCGAGGATCGACGTTTGAAGGTAAGGGTGAGCCTAGATGAGTATTGTGCATTATTCTTAACTCGGGCCTAAACAAGTTCCATGTCTTATTTTACAAATTTTTTTAATCTGCCCTATTGGGCCAAAAAACTGCTATTATTAACTATCAAGGCCCAGCAAAATCATCTGGGTAATAAATGGAATAAACTAATTTTGAAATGGATATTTCATTTCTTCTTTTAGAGAAAAAAAATTATCATAGGCATATTTGAAAAAAAAAAATGAGACAACGTCCCAATACATATGGTTTATAAAAATTGGTTCAATCATTGAGATTTTGAAAAGTTGTAACATCTTTTGTTTAGTAGTCTATTAATTAGATGTTAAAAATATATATTTTTGATAAATTTCAAACTTAACCCTATTTAGAGGAGAGAGGAATGAAGATTTTATGAGAAATAAAAGAAGTATTCCTAGTGAGTTTAAAATCTATTACCCAAAATAATATAAAAGAACTGTCGCAACTGTCTTTCGGTTGGGTCCGGAATTGGGCTTCGACTTAAAAAATGTGGATTGGAGTCGCCACCGATCATTTATTTAAGAATAAATAGGTTGATCGGATACCTTATTTCTTACCTGATCTGCGTCTTTCCAAAGATGTGTCGGGTTCGGGAGTCGGTTACAGTCAAGGAAGGATTAGCACCCTTGAACTGCCCTTTCGGTACTACGTAATTTCCAGTTGTCTTTGATTAAGAAAATTATAAGTTTAAATTAAAAGATAAAATAATGATCCAAAATTACTTACCTTTGACGGATTTACAAATATACCCTTTAAAAGTCAAAATATGGGTTAGAAGAGATGAATAAATGATAAATAAAGTAAAACAAATAAAATAAGGAGATTAAGAAAGAAATAAAGTAAATATAAAATGAATAGAATATATAAAATAAAAAATACAATAACACTAGTATATACATAGCAAACAACTAAATAAAAATAAAATGATAATGCAAATAAATAAATAAAACAAGTAAAAGAATATAAAAACATAAAATATAGGATAAAGATAAAAATAAAATAGATAAATAAATGAGTAAAATATATAAAAAAGTAAAAGCATATATATATATAAGTAAAATAATAATAAAAAAAAAGAAAATCAAAAGTAATATACATATTTATACATGTAAAATAGGAAATATATAAATATATATATAATAACACTAAAAAAACATATATACATATATAATAAAATTAATAGAAAGTAACATGCATATATAACAAGAATAATAAAGTAGGAAAAAATGATTTAGGGGGTGAATTAAATATTTTAAAAAAAAGGACACGCCTCGGGGGTAGATCTAGGTTCGAAACTTCGAAACCCCACCCCTTTTTGGTTATATGCGCAACCCACGTTTTTGGTTATTCAAACCAAATCTCAAGAAAAATAACGTGCACATGCGAGAAATGAACGAACCAATGTAAAAAAGATGCTACCTTTTATTTCCTTTTCGAATCGTTTACAATAGCTTTGCATTTGTATTTTCCGTGCTTTCCTCTGTGTTTTGTGTGTAAATCGTGTGTTATAATAGTGAGTTACAATGGCTATTTATAGTGCTTGTGGATCTTATCTTTAGGAGTTTAAATCATAGTAGAACTCTATCATATTTTTAGGAGTTTGAATTCTAGCAAAATTCTATCCTATTTTTAGGAGTTTGAATTCTAGTATGACGAAAAGGTGTGTTGACAGCTGCCCCTCTTTGCCCATAATCGTGTAACGGGGATAGGGCAAAGATTATAAGACACACTTTAGTTCGGTGGAGTTGAAAATTGACTCTGATGTTTCAATAACTCCCTGTCGAATTGAGTTACGGATGACTCCTCCGTCGTGAAGCCGAGTTCATCTTGAAATGATATGAAATTGAAGCCGTAGTTCGGAATTTGAATCAACATGTGGCTTCTCGTTGCCCTTCGGTCTTCTTCTCGGTTTAAAGACCTTGGATCGGAATCGAACTCAGAAAGCTTCATTGACAGATAGCTTTTGCTTGAAAATGGTTGCTTGTCACTAAGGCACGGTTAACCCAGGTCCTCTTCTCGACTTGAAAACCTTGACTACAACCGAAAAGTAGTGCGATTGATGTGTCATCGAGCTGAATGGAATCGAACTCGACAATTTTGAAGGCAGATAACCCTTCTAGCCTTGAGTTATGCTGTAAATGATGTGCCTTGGAGCTGAACGTAGTCGAACTCGAAGGTCTTTGTTGACAGATACTCTTTCTTTGAGTTGGATATCCTTCGTCGTGAAGTTGAAATCTAATCTAAAGATGGATGATGCTTGTGTACATGATTCCCTTCTTCGTGAAGTTGAGCCTGAAATTGGATATCATTCGTCGTGAAGTTGAAATCCAAGTAAGTAGCATTGTTCCGAGTCCAATATCCTCTGTCGTGAAGTTGAAATTGGCTCTGGAACCGGGAAATTGTTTGTTGACAACCAGTCGTCCCTTCGTTGTGAAGTTGAACTTGTGTTGTCTCTAGTCCAATATTCTTCGCTGTGAAGTTGAAATTGACTCTGAATGAAATTTTGTTGACAATCAGCCGCCCCTTCATCGTGAAGTTGAGCTTGTGTTGCCTTGGGTTCAAGATCCTTCGCTGAGAAGTTGAAATTGGCTCTGAAATTGGGAAGTTGTTTATTGACAACCAGTGGTCCCTTCGTCGTGAAGTTGAACTTGCGTTGTCTTGAGTCCAATATCCTTCGCTGTGAAAGGTGAAATTGGCTCTAAAATTGAGAAGTTATTTGACAACCAGCGGTCCCTTCGTCGTGAAGTTGAACTTGCGTTGTCTGGAGTCCAATATCCTTCGCTGTGAAGTTGAAATTGGCTCTGAAATTTGGAAGTTGTTTATTGACAACCAGCAGTCCCTTCGTCGTGAAGTTGAACTTGCATTGTCTTGAGTCCAATATCCTTCGCTGTGAAGTTGAAATTGGCTCTGAAAATGGGAAATTGTTTGTTGGGTCCCTTCG